GCAGTGGCCGCTCCCGGCCACCGCAGCCTCGACCTGCTGGGCTCCGGCGATCCTTCCGCCTCAGCCTTCCGAGTAGCCGGAATTACAGGCGCGCGCTACCACGCCCGGCCGATTTTTTGATTTATTGTAGAAATGAGGTCTCACCTGCCCAGGCGGGTCTCGAACCCGCGGACTCAGGCAATCCACTCACCTCAGCCTCCCAAAGAGCGGGATTTCAGGCTAGTTTGGTGGAGCCCGGCTAGTTCTGGAAGTTTCTTATTGAGCAACTTCTTCTTTCTCAGAGGACCCTGCATGCGTAAACTTTTTCCTGCCTGGTGTCCCGACCTTATTACAGCTCTCAGGGGATGCCTGCATTCCCATAGCCTTCTGAAGAATTCGGGTTTGCTTCTGCTCCAGCGTTACTGAAATGACTCAGGAATGGGTCTCATCTTATAAGTGATGCTGGAAGCTTCCAACTGACCCTTAAAAAGAAAAACAAACTCTCGATTGGATCAGTAGAGAAGATGAGTGCTAAGTGATTCCCACTTTATGTAAACACATTCACAATATCTTTTTTCCTTTTAATCTTTACATTTCTTTCTTTAATTCAAAGGTATGTACTGTGTATTTACATGGATTCCTTGTGACAGTGGTTCTTGGGCCCAAAGAGCTAATGATTGACAACGGGTAGAAACTGGGAAACAGCTGGCCCTGATTTAAAAAAAAAAAAAATCTTAGTTTTATTGGAGTTAATTGACCATTTTGGAAAACCACTTTTTTCCCTGATAATATTGTACCTGCTTTTTGCATTGTCATAGGGCACCCCCGCCTCAAGGTTTTGTTAGACCTTCTGTTCACCAGCCTCTTCTGGAATAAACCTGTGTACTGCTGCTCTGTTCGCCAGACTCAGAAAAACAATTTGAATAGATTCAAATGTAAGTTACACTTACATTTCTGTAAAAATTTGTGATGACGAAAATAAGAACTTTTTGCATTTCTTAGTTGTGTTTAAGTGTCTTCTAGGAAGTTACTATATATATGGTATGTTGACTGACACAGTCTTATGTAATCTATGCTAATTTCACATTTTCCTTTAAAAAAGAAGGAAGTAATGCATACACTGTCTTTATAAAAAAATTTTATTTTAAAGATATGGGGTACAGTTTACACTCTGTCTTTAAAAGATTACCATGAGTGTTATACTTAATATTAAAAACAGACAAAACTGTCCACCTAGCCTTTCTGTAAAGCAATTTGCACTTATTCTTATTCTCATAATATTGGGAAACTCAAGCATGTCACACACACACATCAATACATGCTTATGTATTGGACTTGAAAACATTTTTTTCCCCTCTTTTTTGGAGTCTGAGTCTCACTCTGTCTCCCAGGCTGGAGTGCAGTGGCATGCACCCTCACGGGCACCCCAGCATCTACCTCCTGGGCTCCAACTCCTTCTACCTCAGCCTTCCAAGTAGCTGAAATTACAAGCGCGCACTGCGATGCCCAGCCAATTTTTTACTTATTGTAGAGATGAGGCCTCACCAAGTTTCCCAAAAAGCATTTTATATCAGTTAGCAATAGAAACAAAATACTAGAATACTAAAGCAAATGCACAGAACAAATTTATGCACTAATTTTACTAATACTTTCATGTGTATCTAGATCAGTTGTTCTCAACCCTATCTGATCCAGTACTTGATTCTTATAACAAGTATTTTATTTATTTATTTTTTGAGTTGGAATCTTACTCTGTTGCCCAGGCTGGAGTGCAGTGGCACGTTCACGGCTACAGCAGCCTCGCTTCTGGGCTCAGGTAATCCTTCCACTTCAGTTTTCCAAGTAGCTGAAACTATAGGTGCATGCCACCACATCTAACTAATTTATTTATTTATATTTATTGTAGAGATGAGGTCTCACCAAGTTGTCTAGGCTGGTCTCGAACCCCTGGTCTCAGGCAATCCTCGCCTCTGCCTCCCAAAGTGCTGAAATTACAGGCGTGAGTCACCCTGCCTGGCTTATACCAAGAATTGTGTATTGTTGCCTTACTATTCTGAAATCATGATCAAAGATCATAATCCTACATATTTAATAGAATTTTACATATCAATAGCACTCTAATTGTAAAATGAAGGAAAATAATTGTAGTGGGATATTAGCATGTAGATGCTCAGGTACCACTACACTAGAATATATAAAGAAGTTGTGAGACGCTCCAGAGTCACACAGAATCATTTAAACACAGCAGCCCCAAATGCAGGCTGATATAGATAGGTCATTGCAACTTAGATTTCAAGAATAACATCAATGGTGTGATTTTTCACAATGCTGAGCTCTTGGTAAAGTTCCATGTAAAACAAAGTGTGTACAACCTTTTCATTTTATAGGATGATGACAATCCTGTAAAAGTCAGTGTTTATTAAAACTGTGAAAAAATACTTTGTGATTTTTTAAAGTGGAGAAAAATTCTAGGTTCAGGTATTATCTGCAGTTTTTCACCTATCAGATACCTGGAGGTTACAGTAGAATTCTTCCTTTTAGGGTATTGTCTTGTCTTGGGATATTGTCCAAGAGGCAAAATTTGTTTTGTAGAACAAACAGAAGGACATCTTGCATCCTTCATACTTATCACTAAGTGTCAAGAATGCCCCCTTCCTATTGTTTTGATAGGTAGACATCTCTCCAGTATTTCTACACTGCTTTTCAATAGGAAGTACTGCCCTGGTGAAATCCAGCGATCCAGGTGTCCCTGCTACTGGATTTCGAGGTTTAATACAGTACAGAAGGTAAAATCTCGGTGTCATTTCTGTAGTGTCTTTGTATTTCTGAGCCTTCATAACAATGATGGGAGAAAAAAGCTAATTATATTTAATTTATAACCATATTTCTAATATTCTGGAAGAAGGATTTTAATGATTAGTTTTATTACAAATGAGAAACCAATATAGATTATTTTTTTTAAAGCCTTAAATGTCCTTTGTGAATTAATGTCAGAACTCATTTTATTTTTTTGAACTTATTTTCCAACTTACTTGTATTTAATGTTACAGATGATGTTATTTAAAAAAAGATCTTCTTTTAAAGATGGATTTCTGTTTAACCAAAGAGAAATTTATCTCACTAAATTTCTATTTTAAATTTTGCTGCTGGACTCTTGTGATAACCAGTTTAGATAAACAGGCTACAATGACTCACTTGTTTTTCCATCTCTCACAGTGACTCCTAAGAAAGTTGTGAATTACAATACAGTGTTATTCTGGGCAGGACATATGGGTAGGGAATAAAATATTTGGATTGCTCAGCTACTCAATAACATTCTCCCCCCCCACTCAGAAATCACTTGGAGACCTCAAAGAGCTCTCAAAATCATGTTTGTCCTCTCATCATTGTACTGAGGCAGATAAGCGAGGATAACAGAATTCAGTTTAATGGTCTATAAATGATATATGGCCCAGCACACAGCAGAGCTGTGGGCCAAAGCCCTTGATACTAACTCCCTACAACTCTTTTTTCTACTATTGGAGTTTTCTGTTGGGTTTTATGCCCACCTGTTTGAATTTCCTTTCTTAGGCCAGGGAAATTAGAAAGAAGGTCATTAATTTCAGGGCAGACAGATGTTGGAACATTCTTAAATACTTCAAATTTACCTAGCTACTTTTTAAACTGAGGAGCAATTAGATAATTTTTAAAAATTAGTTTTGTAAGAGTAACAAGCTGAATGTGGGTTGAGTATTACTAGTTTAATGCTCTGAAAATGAAAAAAATGTTCCAATGTTCCAATGGAAAGGGAGATGCCTTGTCCCATGCTAACCCTTTCTGCTCTGCTGCAGCAAGAGTGCTGAGTTCATCGTGAACTTGGACCCATGGGTGTGGCCTTGACCAGGTCGGCACAGTGGGTAGCAGCTGGCCATGGGCCTGCAGCCCTGGAAGTCACCCCTCTCAATGAAGCGATACTGAAAGAAATTATTACGTTCGTGGAGAGTTTCATCTATAAGCATCCCCAAGAGGCAAAATTTGTTTTTGTAGAACCACTTGAATGGAAAACAGATTTGGAGCCCTCAGCATTTAATTCAGGTTATGTCGTCAGGTAAGCCAGTAAATTGCTTCTGGGATTTAATCTCTTCATTGTACATGGTTTATTGATTTGTTGGCGGTTTAGGGGCAAGTCACTTAACCTCTCTGAATCTGGAGGCACTCAGGTGAAATCTGCAACTGTTTTGCTTGGCCAACAGTTTTTAAATTTTAGATTCTTTTGACATTCTCGAGGTCCCTACACTCCCAACATTTGTTGCTGCTTCATGCCTGACTTTTCCACCCACCCATATCACGTGCCTGATACCGGGAACCATTGATTTGGTGTCCTCTGATATAGACAGAATCTCTTCTGGTATTTAAATTGATCAATTCCTGGTTGTCCTGTGGGAGGGTGATGAACTTGGCTCAGTGTAAAGGAGAGACTTCTTAATAATTAATGCTGTATTCAGATAATAATCTTTCAAATCTGAGTTTAATACATTATACAAGGAGGGACCCAAAAAACTAATTTATTTATAAAAAATTGTGTATTTATCCTTAACATGTTTAAACTTCAGTCACCTTCAAAGTACTCTCCGTTTGATGCAATACACTTCGACGTTTTTTCCACTGCTCAAAACAGTTTTTGAACCTGTCAGTTTGGATGTAGTGCTTCTACCTTTTTGTTTCACCTCTTCCACATCAGCAAAACATTTCCCTTTGTGGACTTTTTTCATCTGGGAAAACAACAACAAAAAAGTTGCTTGGGGTGAGATTGAGTAAATATGGAGGGTGGGTCACGGGGGTCATGCCGTTTTGGTCAAAAACTGTTGAACACTCAGTGCAGTGTGGGCAGGTGATTGTCATGGTGGGAGAACCAGTCACCTGTTTGCCACAACTTGAAATGTTTCTTTCTCAAATTGTGATGCAACCTTCTCAAAACTTCCAGATAAAAACTTTGGTTGATTATTTGATCTGGAGGAACAAATTCTGAATATTCTACAAGGGGCTTGCCCTCCAAAAGATAATACTGGGGTTTTTTTTTTGGGGGGGAGTCTCCCTTTGTAATTGTATGATAAATAAACAAGCAAACATATATATAATTTTATCTTTCTTTTCTACCACCTTTTTCCTTTTTGGTTTTGCATATGAACTCTTTTTTTTTTTTTTAAGAGATGGGGTTTTGCTGTGTTGCCCAGGGTGGACTGGAACTCATAGGCTCAAGAGATCCTTCTGCTTCAGCCTCTCAGGCATGCACCACTGTGCCAGCTAGTTTTGCATGTGAACTTTTAAAGTCTGACCATATTAAAAATAGGTTCCCTAGTTAGCCAAAGCTTTCTGTAGGTGCCTTTTCCTTTTTTGCCCTTTGAGATAATTTGTGAGAATAAAATTAGAACTTCACTTGTAGGATTGCAAAAGCATTCTTGAACACACTACAAGAGCTCTTAGTTCTTTTTTTTTTTTTTTTTTGAGTTGGAGTCTCACTCTGTCACCCAGACTGGAGTGCAGTGGCCGCTCCTAGCCACCGCAGCCTCGACCTACTGGGCTCCGGCGATCCTTCCGCCTCAGCCTTCCGAGTAGCCAGAATTACAGGCGTGTGCTACCACGCCCGGCTTATTTTTTGATTTATTGTAGAGGTGAGGTCTCGCTGCCCAGGCGGGTCTCGAACCCGCGGGCTCAGTCAATCCACTCACCTCAGCCTCCCAAAGGCGCGGGATTACAGGCTGAGTCACTGAGCCCGGCTGAGCTCTTAGTTCTTATATTGATCTGCTTTCACTCTGAATTTTTTGAGATTTTAAAAAATGATTTATTTTATTTCTAACTGTGTCCCTGGTCACTTCCCCCAAAGTGCTTGTCATTTCCAGATTATTACCCCATCCTTTCTTTATTCCACCTAAGTTCAGCAATTTTTCTACTTTGAAAGATGAACTCATATGCAAAACCTATTAAAAACATAGTAACTACTTTTGCCAAGAGAGATTTAAAGCAGATGACAGAAAGGAATATCAAGACTGTCATTGTATCTTGCCTCTGTACACTGTGTTCCGAGTACAAACATGACCACATATGCCCCCTAGTTAGGTGATCTGTAACAGACTCCTCAGACCTGACAGTTTCTCACTCTGTCCTTGTTCAAGTTCTTGCTTTATTTTCATTCTTTCGTCTTTGAACGTGGCCTTGATGCACAGCGTTCCCTCCTCAGCAGGCCTGTCTTGACATTTTGACAGTATGTATATTTTACAGCAACTACCTTTGTCAAGTTGACTGTGCAACTTTTCCTTGGGCTAGTTTCTCTACCCATTCTTTTTGTGCCAAGCCTTTATTGATGATACCTTTCATGTGAAAGGGATTGTATTTGATAGAAGCCATGCTTGTGTGGCTCCGATGAAAGCCGGATACTACTGATTGCCTTGAAGAAGGCAGGGGATGCAACTGGGATCTTGGTGATGGAATATACCAAACGATTTCGAAGCCAGGCCTTGACTATACCCCTTATTCTACCTCCCAGATCAAAGAAAGTTTAGCAACCCATAGTCATTTGGTGCTTACTGCCTGAGGAGCATGGCAAGTGATGTAAGCCAGAGGTGCCCTCAATGACCAGAATAATTTATTGTTTAACAGCCCCAGTGACCGTGTTCTCTGTCCTTTGAGTCACGTGCACTCTGTTGGCTTAACTTCTGGCCCCTTAGCACATTGCTTATACATGTATTGAAAGTGGGGAAACTACTGTCCTTACAGACAGTTTTCAGCTCATATGTCTATGTGTAAGGCCAAAGTTAGTGTATAGGATTTGAGCTTGGAGTCTCTGGATGTGTTTCTGCTAAATAGGAATGTCCTTGGGTGTTTGAGAATAAAGGCAGATGCTTCTCCTTGTGGTTATACATTCTCTCAGCCCTCTTGTTCCAAAACAAGTCAGTTTTATCTACACTTGAAGATCTATCAAAGTAGATAAGCTACCCCTTTTTGTTGGTTTCTGCAGATATTGATGGGAATATATTTATCTTTTTGTTATTTATTATTTTTGTTTACTTATTTATGTTTTCAAAATAGGGTCTCGCTCTGTCACCTAGGCTGGAGTGCAGTGGTGTGATCACAACTCACTGCAACCTCCTATGATCCTCCTGCTTCAACCTTCTGAGTAGCTGGGACTTCAGGCGTTTGCTACCACACCTGACAAACTTTTTAATTTTTTGTAGAGACAGGATCTCGCTGTGTTGCCCGGACTGGTCTCAAACTTCTGACCTCAAGTGATCTTCCTGCTTCAGGCTCCCAAAGCTCTGGGATTATAGGTGTGAGCCGCCGAACTTGGTCTGATGGAAATAGTTTTATATTTGTGGACAAGTATGTATTTATACTTGTCATTTGATGTTGCACATTTCCAAATGCACTCTCTGCAGTAGTTTGTAAAAGTTTGATCAGCCTTTTTGTGAATTAGGCTAATCAACATCTGATATTGAAATGGATCCTGGCACATACTGGAAAGGTTTTATGTTGCATCAACCAACCTCTTCTCCATTTGTGCAGATCATCATTAATTGACCAGATAGGCACCCCGTTTTTCACATGTTGCATGATATATCTTTTCCTTCAAAAACATTCCCAGTTTATTCATCTTGTAATAACATTTGTCATCGCTCCACATTCGTTTTTTTGGGGGGAGGAAATAACTCTACTTTCATTTTCATGGACCTCATAGGTTTTCTCTTTATTACCATTTTCAATTGCTATTGTTCTTATTAGACAGGATTAGATTAGTAATATTCCTAAAACACCTCAGAATGGAACTCAAGTCTGCAGTACACTAAGGACAAATGACACCACTCAATGATGATACCATCTGTTTGTGGGTACTGAGGTGCTTTGATTGTATAGAATGTGGCTTGGGAAATTTATAAATTGGATAAGCATTCAGAATCATGTGAAAATGTTATTACCTGTTCTTTTCTTTCCTTCTCTGGTGGAACTACATTATGTTTTTTGAATCAAATCTGCTGTAATAGTGCTGTAATTTAGTTTTGAATCTCAGTGCACTGTGTCTCAGTGATATGTATGTGTCTGAACAAAATCCTATGCTGTAGGAGTTCCATATGGACGGAAAGTCAGGTCACCTGAGTGATGGCTTTCTTCTCCCCAGGAATGCACGGTTCAAACATGACTCATACCTTTCTGGGCCTTAGTTTTCTGGCCAGTATCATAAGAAGCTGAATTACATCATTTCTAAGGTTACACTCAACCTTCAAATTGCATTGTTTTATTAGACAATAATTATTGTATTTTGGTAGAATTTCTAAGTCACGGTGGTAAGATCAGAGGCCGTAATATGTTATTACTGAATGCTTTATATTTTGTTCCTGAAAATTGTTAGTTTTTCAACTACAGCCTTATTTCCTATATTACTGTTTAGACATACATTTATTGAGTGATGAGACTCTAACAAGACACTGGAGATGAGAGAAAAAAGACATTTCCCTGCTTCCTTGCTGTAGAGACTAAACTGAGTATTTCTAGCCCCCTCCTCTAAGTCCAGTTTGAAACCTCTCTCTCCATCGTGACAGTGGATTTGCCCGATAGCACTCTTCTTTTTGACTTTCATAAGGTGGTGGCAGCATTTTTCTGTCTAAGAGATTGTTCTTCAGGTGTCAGAAATGAGAGCTTGAAAGCAGAAACATCCTCTTCAGCATCCACTCTAACTGGCTTTTTGCTTTTTACTTCCTACTTCTCTGTTAAGTTGCACACTGGTAGGAGCAATGAAAACTGTCACCTGTGCCCTTCTGTTTCTCACTGGGATTTTCACTTTCTCCAGTTAAGTAGCTTGATATTTTTTGGCATTTGGTCAGCCTGTAACCTAGCCCTGTCACCATCACTTAGCCTAAGTGACCAGCCTCCATGTGAGTGACCTTTAGGTACAAGCTGTTAAGAAGTCTCTTCAATCCCAAGAATGTTATGCCAGAAAAGCTTACTTTTAGAGAAACTATACACTGTGTACACAATGCATGTCACTGGCAAGTCGATATATATTTTATTCATCCGTTTATCCACAGATGTGTATTGAGTGCCATCTAGGTGCAGTTCCTATTTGAGGACCTGGAGGTTGAGCAGTACCTATCTGTACCCAGCAGAACCAGACTGATAAAGCCCACCTATTAGCTTCCTATCGCTCCTGTAACTCATTGCCTCAAACTTTAGTGGCTTAGAACAACACAAAGTTATTGTCTTATCTTTCTGAAGGTCAGAAGTCTAAAATGATGCTTTGAGAGGCCTATGAGGGAAGGATCACTTGGGGCCAGGAGTTAAAGACTAGTTTGGGCAACTTGGCGAGACCTCGTCCCTACAAAAAATTTAAAAATTAGCCAGGCGTGGTGATATGTGCTTCTAAAGTCCCAGCTACTTGGGAGATTGAGGCAGGAGAATTGCTTGAGCCCAGGAGGTCGAGGCTGCAGTGAGCTGTGATTGTGTCACTTGCACACAAGCCTGGGTGACAGAGCGAGATCCTGATTCTAAAGGCGGGGGAAAGGGGGTAAAGAGAGAGAAAAAAGTCTAAAAGGAATCTGCAGGGCTAAAATCAAGGTATTGGCACGTCTGTATCCCTTCTGGAGACTCAAGGAGAACTCTTTCTTTCCTTCTCTAGCTTCTAGATGCCCCTATGTTCCTTGGCTCACAGCCTCACAGCACTCTGACCACTGCCTTCATTATTACGTCACCTTTGATTCTAACCCTCCGGCCTCCCTCTTACAAGGACCCTTGTGATTATGTTTGGCTTACCCAGTTACCCAGGATAGTCTCTCCATCTCAAGATCCTTAACTTAATCCCCCTGCAAAGTCCCTTTTGCCATGTGAGTCACCTCACATATTCACAGGTTTTGGGGATTAGGATGTAGACATTTTGGGGAACCCTTCTTCTGCCTCCCACAGTCCCTATTCTCTTATTTCTGCTTTCATGAGCTATGTCTGTAGTATGTAATCTGGGTCTGTCAGTTTTACTTTCTGATGAACTAGCAACATTTCGCATCTGTTTATTTGCATTTGCAATTTAAAGTATGTTAGATCAGATCTGAAGATGTGGGCAGGACTATCAGCATGTCATAAAAATCGTGGGCAGTTTAATTAATGTTGTAAGTCATAGGAATCTATAAAAATATCACCGCCATGAAAATATCTTAATATATTTTTAAATGCCTATCTACAAAATCATTAAAATGGACAGAAACATGAATTTAGGAGACCCAATAATTTCTGATCAGGAAAAACCCATTTAGAAAAACTGTATATTATCCTAAGGTAAACCAAATTAAAGTTGAGAGTGGGAAAGTAATCCACAGAATGGAGCTAGTTTGCCTTTAGTTTGTCTTTCTTTGTAGCTTTTTTTTGGGGTCCATAAACAGTGTAACCAAGAAAATTCCTAACCACTAATTACTGTGGTGTAAAAATTTTATAAATAAAATAACATTAGATGGTCCCAAAGCATGAATGGTTCTGCAAAACCAGTGATTTTTCTTTTTTTAAAAGATGTCAGAAACCATTGTTAGGAAAACAAAAACACAAACTATGATTATTTGGGTTCAGTTGTGAACTCAAGAAATTGCTTACAATTTTCTTCATGGACATATCCTGTTGCTTACTATGGTTGCTGATAAGTTTGGACATTTACGGTTCTGACTGTGAAAGAATTGGGAAAATAGATGGGCTTCTAACCAGAAGAACTGATATTCTGGGGTTTTATAATGAGACACAGAACTATCTATTGAAATTGTCTTCAGTTTAACTTCTATTATTATCCAGGTAAAGCTTTCAATTTTTTTCTATTTTTTAGTGAAACAATAGTCAAATCAGAAGAAGTTGATAAAAATGGACAACCTTTGCTATTTCTCTCTGTTCCACAAATTAAAGTGAGGAGCTTTAGGCAGCTGTCATGCTTGCTATTTATTGCTGGAGATACAAAACTGAAGGAAGCACAGGCGTGCATCGAAGGTGATGTTTACACACCAGTCTGTGATCTGCACTTTTAGAAACGAACCTGGGGGATATCATCTGTTAGTTTCTTGAAAAAATTTCTACAAATGGTAACAAGTCGTATGTACAACCTCATGAAAATATTATTCATTTTCCTTGGCTGCAATATTATGCTCAGATCAAATTTCTGCTTTAAAATGAAAGGCCTGCTCCTTTCCTGCTAGTAGGTTTCTAGGTTTCTAATTTTAGCATGTGGTTTAAAGAGAACCTTCTCAGCCTCTGGAAAGCCCAGGGGTCCATGGCCTGTTAGATCCACATCGGGAGAGAAGATAGATGACAAGGGCCAGAGTCTGAACCCAGTCTCTCCCCCTGCGTCTTACTATGATGGATGCTGATCTGTTTTCTTTAACATGAGTATAGGCTCTTCCTTTAGTGGAGACGGCCCTTGATAATTTCCCTTTCCATTGTTTTCAGCCATATTGTACTGTGGACATCACAGCCTTCTGTGAATAATTGCATTCATTCAACTCTGGGGAAAATAATGTTTTTTTTCATTCATTAAAGATATATAATGCTCTTATTATCATCAAATCATCTAACATGCAAAAAAGAATGTGATTGGTTGCCTGTTATAACCACATTGTAAATATTTCTTAGAAGTGGGAATACCTAATCACAGGTAATGACGTATTATGTGTATTTTGCTCTTTTGGCATTATGTGAACAGGTATAAGGTACCTGAGTTCTGCCCATTCTGTGTGAGATGGTCCTTAAAAACAAAAAAGATGCCAACCTCAGAACAGCAACCTTTTTTTATTTCTTGCCCATTTTTCTTTATTAAATGAGAGGGGTCAAATCTTGAAGAGTCCATCTGCATCCAAGAAGGTAGTTAAAGCTGGGCACAGTGGCTCACGCCTGTAATCCAGCACTTTGGGAGGCTGAGGAAGGTGGATTGCTTGAGTCCAGGATTTCAAGATTAGCCTGGGAAACATAGACCTCTTCATTACAAAAAAATAAAAATATTACCTGAGTGTGGTGGTGCACGTATGTAGTCCCAGCTACATGGGAGGCTGAGGTGGGAGGATCACTTGAGACCAGGAGGTCAAGGCTGTGGTGAGCTGTGATCATGCCACTGAACTCCAGCCTGGGCAACAGTGAAACCCTGAATTAGAAAAAAAAAAAAAGAAAAGGTGGTTAATGAATGCATGATATGATTGTTTATTACATTCAGCTTAATAGATAGACAATGCATTGACTGCTGTATATCTTGTTTGGCTAAATATTTATCCTATGTTGCATTTTGCTCTTCCTGCAAGAGTTTAGGTACATCCTTAGTTTCAGGTACAAGCTGCATGGTACATGGAAATTTGGTAGTCAGGTTTGCATCTTGCCCCAGCATTCACCTAATATGTCTTTTTGTAATTTTTTTTTTTCAAAGACAGGGTCTTACTCCATTGGCCAAGCTGGAGTGTGATGGTACCATCATAGCTCACTGCAGCCTTGAACTCCTGGGCTCAAGTGATCTTCCCATTTCAGACTCTTGGGACCACAGACACCACCATGCCCAGCTATTTTTAATTTTTTTTTTTTTGTAGAGACAAGGTATTGCTATGTTGTTCAGGCATACCATACCTCCAACTCCTGCCTCAAGCCATTCTCCCTCTTTGACTTTCCAAAGCACTGGGATTGCAGGCATTAGCCACCACACCCAGCCTATAGATGATATTATAGTACAAATTAGAGCATCTCATGAGGCATATGAAAGTTTCTTAGTACAATGGAAACTCAGAAGTAGAGATGACTTCTGACTGGGTCTATCAGAGAAAGCTTAATGAAAGAAACACTTTGGAGTGGGTTTTGCAGAAATTGTCTTTATGTTTGTTGTACTAGAAGACAAGAGGATGATTTTTATTTACTTTTGTGTGTGTGTGTGTCAGCTAACAGAGACCCTGTAGTAAAAATCCTGGGCTCAGATTATAATATAAAGAAAGAAGACTCAACTGCGTTAAATATTCTTGATAAAATTATCAGAGATGATGATCTTGAAGGCAAGATGAAGATGAAGATTGCTATGCTGCTTAAGCAACTGGATCTGCACCTACTTAATCATTCTCTAAAACATATTTCATTGTGAGTCTTTTTGTAAAGAAGAAAACCTTTAAAAATTAGTTGTAGAAGTTGCTTTCAGAGTTTTAGGAAAAAACACAAGAAAATAAAGTATGGAAGTTATTGCTATGAATTTAACATTACATTTTATTGGATACAAATTTAATTTGGGGGGATTTATTTATTCTAGTTCTAAAAATTAAAATTTGCAGGTAGCATTGCTAAAACATTCTAGCAGGGTTGCGTCCAATTCTGAAGACGTTAAGTGGCCTTGTTATTTTCAAAGACTATAACAAATTATTAAATTATAAGGCAGAGTTTATATAGTCCAAAACTTGTTCATTTCTCTAGTATTGTAATTAAAAATGAAGTGACTATTTCACTGAGTATGTTTAATGTTACATTAATCATGAATCCCTAATTCCTTGATGTTTTGATGGTGGTGTTGTAAGATTATAATATGGTTAAAATTAATTGCAATTTTAATGCAAAACTGATATCCCCCTGATATAATGGGATGTGTTAATGTGTTTCTTGTAGATTCTGTTTTAAAGCATTTAAATTGAATTTTCAAACATTTATTTCAGAGAAATACGTTTAAATCCACTGGCTGTTAAGAAGGACATAGAACTGCTCAAACGTTTCTCAGGAAAAGGAGAACAAACAGTCTTGGAATCTATTGAATATACCTCAGGTTAATACCTTCTTGAATTCATTTTACATATTCATGCTTTCATGGTTATATTTTAAAAGTGCTTTCAGTGACTACATTAAAGGCTTAAGCAAATGAATACTGAAAATTTCAACAATATTTTGGTGAGACAAATATATTACAAATATCTAGGTTAAGGAACTCCTATTCATTGCTTGTTGATTGGTTTCAGAATATGAATTTTCAAATGGATGTCGAGCCCCACCTTGGAGACAGATTCGCGGGGAAATTTGTTACTTGCTGGTGAAGCCACATGATGTCGAAACTCTGTGCATCACTTGTAGTGCAGAAGGAGTATTTTTAAATGGTGTAAGTAGTTTTTTAAAAAACATAACTAGAGCCAGTGGAGTGCAGTGGGCACTCCCGGCCACTGCAGCCTCGACCTGCTGGGCTCCGGCGATCCTTCCGCCTCAGCCTTCCAAGTAGCTGGAATTACAGGCATGTGCTACCACGCCCAGCTGATTTTTTGATTTATTGTAGAGATGAGGTCTCACTGCCCAGGCGGGTCTTGAACCGCGGACTCAGGCAATCCACTCACCTCAGCCTCCCAAAGGTGCGGGATTACAGGCTGAGCCACCGAGCCCAGCAGATATTGGTTCTTAATTGGCATGTCTCAAGAGCCATACCTGATGACACCAAGGGTGAAGTACTGTTCTGTAAGATGGTGGAGATTCCTCTTCTGTGCATTTGCTGGGCAAATCCAAAGTCGCTCCCTCATTCCCTGCTGCAGATCTTAAGCCAGTATCTAAGAAAGGGGCTTCACAGTGACCCATTCCACCTTATAAATATCTTTAACATAATCAGTTCACTGATTTCACAGGTATTGAAGGAAAGAAAAGGTACAAAAGAATAAAGGTAATACAGAAGTCAACACTTGTCGCTTCCCTGCTAAAAGTTGAAGGGAGAAAGGGAAGCAGAGGAACTTATCCAAATAAATGTAGGAGGTTGGAGACCTGTCCAGGAAGCTGGGACCCAGACCTCTGGAGGGGTGGGGGTGGGGAGCTGCCCAGCTAGTGCTACTACCTCAGGAGCTTAGAGGATCCTGGTGGAGCTAGCAGAGTTGGGACCTGCACCTTTGAAGACAGGGCACTAGTCAGCTGATAATATTTCTGAGGCAGCATAGTGAGCCTGGCTCTGGAACTGTGAGAAAAGCAAACCTGGAAATTGGAATCAACTGTTGCTACTGGAAGCAACTGCCACTGCCAGGGAGGAAAGGCCATTGCTGGGGTAACTTGAACAGGGACAGTGACCAAAAGGAAGGGGCATGAACTTCCTCCATCCTCTAGCCTTTCAGTCTTCTTTCAGCTTCCTGCTGACTGAACCTAACCCAATCTGGCAAAGGAGAAAGTCAACTTTGCAGATTCCCAGTCCAAGTGGCACAAAGCAGAGTCTGGGTCGGTGGGCTTGGAGCAGAGAGGGACGCAGCAAATAGCCTGGGTTCAAACACTTTAATTTTAGTCTCATCCCTAGTCTCTGAAATAGCTAGAAGAGCTTAGGTTTCACATCTGCAACATCCTGCCTTCAGTATCTTCAGCCCAAATTTTAGCAAAATTCTATGAGGATCCTAATCCTGAATGGGACCCAGCCATCATGGGAGATGGCTTGGAGGATGGCTGCCCCTTGGTGTGGGTTGGTACCCAATGCTGGAGCCTCCTGCTTGGTTACCTGCAGGCATCTCCCAGATGTGGCTTTTGGTGCTTTTCTTATTAGCATTACACTGAGCTTATTTCTATGTAGAGAAAGTAGACGACCTAAATATAATATTGCTTTTGGTTCCTTTTGATAAATTTTAGAAAAATTTTAGTTGCTAATTAGAAAATAAGAGAAAAAAAAAGAAGGAATGATGGACCTCCTAGAGAGGGGAAGGGGTCTTTATTTCTATCAAAGGCTATTGATCCATGTACATACAACTTTATTTGGTATGGAAACATCTAAGTACTTCTCTCAGTTGCAAAAAAGACGAGGACCATAAAACTATTTAATAATTAAAATAAAATTGGAAAAACCCACTACACTCATGTATATGCATATCTATTTTTTATATGGACAGTTATATAAGTATGTATGTGCGTGCATATATATGTGTGTGTATAAGGTCTGTTAAGGAAGAATAAGAGGGTTAGGGAAGAAAAGGGAAATGAGGAAATGAAAGAGACAAGAAGAAAGAGGGAGAGATGGGGTGGAGGCACGGCTGGTGGTATAGAGACTGTAACCCTAGGAAATGAGCCTATGGTAACCACGCTATACACAGAACAGGAGTGGAGAGGCAAACAGAAACATAGGCTTTTCTACGGTGACATTCTAACCTTGAGGCCTTTTATGACTTCATCAGCTAAGACTCTTGAAGTCATAATGCATTTCCACAGCAGAGGAGAGCAGAGAAGGAAGCTGAATAGCAGAGTGCTCTACATGTTCATGGGAGGTACTTAGTGAATGCTTGCTGAAAGAATGAATGATGAAAGGGAGAAATAAGTGAGTGAATGAATAAATAGATAACATTAAGTTAACATTTTGTATGTAAAGACTACCACTTGGATCCTCTAGAAAACAATATGTGTGCTTAGGTTGTGGTGTATTGATCAGATCAGGTTCTTATATTTCTATTACATTAATCCTAGCACCAAACTTTCTCCCCCAAAGGGCAAAACAGATGATGAGGGAGATATTGATTATGAGAGAAAAGGTGCAGTTTATAAAGACCTTGTCACATTTTTAAGAGAAAAATCAGCAAAATTTTCAGAAAATATGTCTAAACAGGTAAGTTTAATGGTTTACTTTGAACTTTTGTAATATTATGTTACTCAACTGTCTATATAGTACAAAAATTATAATTTTGCCTACTTTTAGACACTGCTTTTAATAATGTTTTTCACAACATAATATAAATAAGAAATGTTGTAAATGTAGTCCTTCTTAAACGTTTCTGATTTTCTTTGGGTGGGTGATAGGTAATATTTCAAATTGCTTTCAGTATAAGATTTTTCTGTCTTCCCTTTTGAATTAGTATCATGAAGAACAGAGGATCCATCCCTGTTATGAAGCCTAGGTGTTTTGATTATTTTTATGTTATCTGAGTACCCCATGATGGCTGCCCAATTGTACTGTCTTAATTAGTAAGTCAGCTATGCATGCACAAGAATTGGGCTTCTTTTGTCTTCCATGTTTTCTGAAATAGTGCTGGACAAATAAATTGACCAGTGCATATTTTATGAAATCAAATTTTGTTTGAAGCTGATGGTAAGAAGAGGATGTGCAAGTTAGGCAAGAAGTACTAATGCTGTATACACAGGCTCTGGCAGATTCTCAAGAGCATGTTCACCCCATGGGTTTCTATCAGATAACCTGTCCATATCCTTTCTGGCCCTGCCCCTTCCAGAATGCTCCATTCTCTTGCTAGATGGCCGCTGCCCTTGTTCTGGGACTTCTCTTTGTCACCATCCTGTGACTTTTTTTTTTTTTCCTGGTGTTTGAACACCTGATTTCTAGGTTCTGGTTTTCCTTTTCTGTTATTGTAGTTAAATATGTTACTAAACATAAGGTTTGCTATTTAACCATTTCAAGAGTATTATTTAGTAGCCTTAATGACCTTTTGCAATGTTGTGCAACAGTCACTACTATTTCCAAATATTTTTCATCACCCCAAACTAAGACTCTACACTTAATAAGCAATAACTCTCTATTGCTTCTGCCCCTAGTTCCTGGTAAACTCTCATCTGCTTTTGAATTTGCCTATTTTACATATTTCATATCAGTGAAACCATATAATATTTGTCCTTTTATGTCTGTCTTTCACTTAGCATGTTTTAAAGGTTCATCCATGTTGTAGCATTATTCCTTTTGATGGCTGAACAAGATTTCATTTCTGTGTATACCACATTTTGTTTACCCATTCATGTATTGATGGGCATTTGAGTTGTTTCCACCTTTTGGCTATTGCGAATACAGCTGCTATGAATATTGGGGTATAGTTCTTTTGGGTATATGCCTAAAAGTGGGTCATATGGTACTTCTGTATTTAACTTTGGAGGAATCGCCCACATATCTTCCACAGTGGCTGCACCATTTTACACTCCCACTGCAATCTGGGAGGATTCTGCCCTCTCCACATCCTCCTTAACACTTATTTTCTGTGTTGCTGTTTAGTTGCAGACATCCTAGCAAGTGTGGAGTGGTATCCCATTGTGGTTTTGATTTGCATTTCCATAATGATTGATGTGATGTTGAACATATTTCATGTGCTTATTGGCCATTTGGATATCTTCTTTGAAGAAATGTCTGAGTCCTTTGCTCATTTTAAAAATTGGATTATTTTTATTGTTGAGTTGTAGTTTATTAATATATTCTAGATATTAACTTCTGATCAGACAGATTTGCAAATATTTTCTCTTATTCTGTGTATTTTCTTTTCACTTTCTTGATAGTATCATTTGATGCACAGATGTTTTTAAGTATAATTATCTATTATTTTTCTTTTGTTGTCTGTGCTTTTGGTGTCATATTTAAAAAGTCATTGCCAAATCTAAAGTCGTAAAGATTCGTCCCTGGGTTTTCCTTTAAGAATCTTATAATTTTAGAACTCTTTCTCCTCCCCTCCCCTCCCTCCCTCCTTTCCTTTCTTTTTTGAGTTGGAGTCTCACTCTTTTGCCTAGGCTGGAGTACAGTGGCACGATTGTGGTTTGCCACAGCCTTGACCTTCTGGGCTCAAGCAGTCCTCCTACCTCAGCCTCCTGAGTAGATGGGACTTACAGGCTCATGTCACTGGCTAACTTTTGGATTTTTTTGTAGAGATGAAGTCTTGCTATGTTGTCCAGGCTGGTCTTGAACTCCTGAGCTTGAGTGATCGTCCTGCTCAGCCTCCCAGAGTGCTGCTATTACAGGTGTGAGCCACCGTGCCTGGCCTGTTTTAGCTCTTATATTTAGATCTTTGATCCACTTTGACTTAATTTTTCCTGTAGTGTAAGATTAAGTCTCCAGTTTAATTTTTTTCATTGTGCATATCTGATTTTCCCATATTTGTTGAAGAAACTTGTCTTTTCCCTTTGATATGGTCTTGGCATCCTTGTTGAAAATCAATTGGTCATAGATGGAAGGGTTTATTTTTGGGCTTGACTTTCAATTCTATTCCATTGGTCTATATGTCTACCTTTATAACAGCACCACACTGTTTTGATTACTATAGCTTTGTAGTAGTTTTGAAATTGGAAAGTGTGAATCCTCAGACTTTGTTTTTCAAGACTGCTTTAGTTATTTGGGTTTATTTGAATTTTAGACTTGCTTTTACCATTTCTGTAAAGAAATGCTATTGGGATTTTGGTAGGGATTTTATTATATCTATAGATTGCTTTACATGGTATTGTCATCTTTGCATTTAGCCTTCTAACTCATGATAGTTTTCCACAAATTGGTCTTTAAATTCTTTCAGCATTGTTTTGCACTTTTCAGTGCATAAGATTTTCTCCTCAACAAAAAATAAATTTTGTTAAACTTCTAAATATTTTATTCTTTTTGATGGCATGGTAAGTGAAATTTTCTTAATTTCATTTTCCATTGGTTACTGCTAATGTATAGAATTACAATTTCTGAGTGTTAAAATCAGCTCTGATCTTTGAGTGTTGAATTTAAGATTGAATTCTGCAACTTCATTGGATTTATTTCTTAACTCAGTTTGTATGTGTAGATTCTTTAGGTTTCTTTTTGTACACAAATCAAGTCATCCATGAACAGAGATAGTTTTACTTCTTCCTTTCCAATTTGGACATTTTTAAAATTGATTTTTCTTGACTAATTACTGTGAGTAGGACTTTTAGGACTGTGTTGATTAGAAGTGGTGAAAGCAGGCATCTTTGTCTGAGTCCTGATCTTAGTTGAAAAGCTTTTAGGCTTTTGCCATTGAGTTGATGTAAGTTGTGGGTTTTTTTCCATATATGACCTTTATTGTGTTGTATGAGTTATTTTCTGTTCAGTTTTTCTTTTCTTTGTGCACCCATCATTTGGTGAAACTTCCTGGGTAAGAGAGGCAGGCAGGAGGGGAAAATTGGGGATTAACATGTTTGAAAATATTTTTATTCTTTTCTCTCAGTTGTTTCTAGAATAGTAGTTCCAAAATAATTTTTGCTTAGCATTTTAAAGCTGTGTTTGCTATGTGGCTGGTTCTGGCTTCTCTCTTTTTCAGAAGGCTTTGGGATTTTCTTTGGTGTTCAGTAATTTTTGTGGTATGGTTTGTTTGTTTTTTGTTTGTTTTTCATTAATGGTGACATATATCCTTCAAAACTAGGAAAAAAAATTTCATATTATATCCTTACTTATTTTTTCCTCTCTCTTCTTTTTTTGAAACTCTTATTAGTTGAATGTGGGACCTCTTAGATTAATTGCCTGATTTTATTTTTTTTCACCCTACCCCTCCCTGGCCTGGCTTTAAGGTAAAATAGTCCTTTAAGTTATTTTCCAAATAGTGTACATTTCTTTAAATTATTAGCTCTCATATTTTTAATGTTTTGTTTTTAATGTTTATTTTTATAGAATTTGTTTCATGAGTATACTATATTTTGCAGATAGTTGTTTTTTAAGGCTTGTATTTTGCATTAGTTAGAGTTTGCCAAAGAAACAGAATAAATAAGGAGAGGTGGGAGGTGGGGGGAAGCGAGAGAGAGAAAGGGGAGAGACAGAGAGAGACACACAGAAAGAGAAATGGGCGAGAGAGAGAAGGGGGAGACATAGGCAGAGAGAGAGAGAGAGAGAAAGAGAGAGAGAAATAGAGAAAGAGAGAAAGAGAGAGAGAAGGGGGAGACATAGACAGGCAGAGAGAGAGAGAGAGAGAGGAGAGAGAGAGAGAGAGGGGAAAGAAAAGGAGAAAAATAAAGAGGGAGAGATAAATTATTGAGAGAGACTGAGAGAGATTTCAAGAAACTGAGTCATGCTATCAAGGCAGGTCAGTATGGAATTTGTAGGGTAGTCCAGCAGGCTGGAAATCTGGATAAGAGTTGATGTCATGGTTTAGAGTCATAAATTCTTCTATCAGGAGGCTAAAAACTCAAGCAGGGTTTCTGTGTTGCAGTCTTGAGTATAATTCCTTCTTCTTCAAGAGACCTCAGTCTTTTCTCTTAAGGTCTTTGGCTCATTGGATGAGGTCTCTCCAGATTGTAGAGAGTGATCTTCTATACTCAAATCTACTGATTTAAATATTAATCACCTCTTAAAAAAATACACAGCAACATTTAGATGGTATTTGACCCAAAACACTGAACAATTCAACCTAGCCAAGTTGTCCTAAAATTAACTATTCCGTTTTTGTGGACTGCATTATTTTATTTTCCTTCAAGTTCCTTTTTTGTTTTGATCTATTTTTTTCATGATAGATTCTTTAAAATTTGTTTTATTTGAAAGATGTCGGGTACTATTCAGGGTTAGGTATACAAATGTTCATTATGCCGGCACCCTTGTTGAGGTGTGCCCCCGCACCAGCAGTTTCCCACTACTGCCAATCCCACGCCCACTCCCTTGGCAGTTTTTCACATTAGATTCTTAATGGTATGAGACTCTCCCAATTTCTCCAAAAAGCCAACCAGACACGCTCTGTGAGCTGGGTCTCTTGGCTGCTGGGCCTCATGATAGGGCCTTTTGTTCAGGCCTAATGTAACATTCTATAAGATATTTCCCTCTAGTGGTTCAATTTATCCAGAAAAGACTCTTCTTATGTCCTGCCTGGGGAACATAAACCTGATTTGTTGGAAGTGAGAAGAAATAGGCACTCGAGTTGTTAATCATTCAGGATTGGCATTTCACTTCGTTTTCTTGTTTTCAGTGTCAGACCTCACACTCCTGCCCTCAGCTGTATCTGAAAGTCTTGAACCTGAAGCTTCTGTGGTCACCTTTGTCTAGAAGAGTACCTCTCATTTCCCATAGTACTGGAGAAAGGGGCAAAAACCCTGCTGTGCTAGGTGACAGGTGGTATCAGGGATGGAGAGCTTGGAGTCAGGATCTTTGGGGAGGGTATTTCCATAGAGACATTGAGAGCCACCATGCCTGGCCTAATTGTTCTTTCCTTCCTTTCTAATGTTGCAAGTTTCCCTCCTTCATCATGTTCTTTCTTTCTTTCTTTTTAAGAGCTTCTTTTAGCCATCCTTTGGGTAGGTCTGTTGTGACAAATTCTTGGTTTTCCTTCATCTGAAAATGTCTTGATTTCACTTCGTTTCTGAAGAATATTTTCACTGTATGTAATAGTCTGGGTTGACAGTTCTTTACTTTCAGCCCTTGAAGCTGTTGTTCTAATTCTTTCTGGCCTTTGTGTTGTCTCATGAAAAATCTGCAGTTATTTTAATTGTTCTCCCCTTATAGGTAAAGTATTGTTTCTCAGTGCTTTCAAGACTTTTTCTTGCTTTTAGTTTTATGGAGCTAGATTATCATGTATCTTGACATAGATTTATTTGGGCTTATTCTGTTTAGGGCTTGCTCGACTTCTTGAATCTTAGGAATATGTTTTCTAAATTTGGGACTTTTCAGGCATTCTTAGAATACATTTTTAGTTTGACTCTTTCCTCTACATTTTTAGTTTGACCCTCTTTCTCCTCTGCTTTTGGTACTCTCGTGACAAGAATGTTGAATTTGTTTTTTGTCATAATCCCACAGATCTTGAGACTCTGTTCATTTTTTTCCAAATGTTTTCTCTTTGTTGTTCTGATTGAGTAATTTCTATTGCTCTGTTCTCAAATCATGGAGTCTCTCCTCTGTCCTTTTCATCTTTTCAAGCCTTTGAGCCCATCCAAAGAGTTTTTATTTTGGTTTGTAAATTTCAGTTTCAAAATTTCGATTTGGTTCTTCTTTATATCTTTTGTTTATTTGCTGAGACGTTCTAATTTTTTTCATTTGTTTCAAGTCTTCATAATTACTCATTGAAGCATTTTTATAATGGCTCCTTTAAAAGCTTCTCAGATTATTCCAGCATCTATTTATCTCAATATAAGCATCTGATCATTGTCATTTCTTATTCAAGTTATGATTGTCCTGGTTTTTGATATGATAAGTGAATTTTTTAATTGTCAGATACATTTTTGGCATTATGTTGTGAAACTCTGGATTTTATTTAAATTTTTTGTTTTAGCAGACCCTCTTTAACAGCTCATGGGCAAAAGTCTGGGGATATGCAAGGTGGTAGTAAAAGTCCAGGTTCCACACTTAGTCTTTATTAACAGTGCCACTTTAGTGGCATAGGGTATTTCATTACCACTGGGCAGAGGTGAAAGTTCAATTTTTCCACTAAGCCTCTGCTGACACTCTTCTGACTGGGAGGGGGAGAGTGTCTTGTTATAGACTTCCTATGGCACCTTTCTCTATTAAAACCATGGGAGGTAAGCCCATTGCTGCTAGGAGGTTGTAACGTTACAGCATGTCTCGAAATTGCCATATGGTTTTTCTTCTTTAGTCTGTTGCTATGGTGATTATACTGATTTTCAAATATTGAGCTAATGTTGAATCCTGGGATAAATTTCACTTATTTGTGGAGTCTTATCCTGTTTATATATTGCTGGATATAATTTGATAACTTTTTCTGAGATTTTGCATCTATATTCATGAAGAACATGGGTTAGTAGTTATCTTTTAATGTTTTTGTCTGGTTTTGACATCTGGGTAAAATGGTCTCATAAAATGAGTTGAGAAATGTTCACTAATTTTCTTTTTTCTAGAATTCTTTGTATAGAATAGTTATTACTTTCTTAAATTTTTGATAGAATTTTCCAAAAAGTTGTCTGTACCTGGAGTTTTCTTTGTTGGAAGGTTTTTAAATTGAGGATTTGATTTCTTTCATTGGAATAGAGCTATTCAGATTTCTCTTTCTTGATAAACTTTGGTGGTTTGTATCTTTCAAAGAATTTGCACATTTGTCTAATTTATCCAGTGTACTGACATCAAGTACAGTGTTCCATTATTATCCTTTAATGTCTGGAGGCTCTGTTGTGATGACCCCTCTTTCATTCCTCATATTGGTAATTTATGTCTTCTTTCTTTTTTCTTAATCAATATGGACAGAAGTTTCCCAATTTTATTGGTCTTTTAAAAAAGCCAGATAATTGTTTCATTGATTTTTCTCTATTATTTGTTTGCTTTCTGTTTTATTTTATTTCTGCTCTTTATTTATTCTTTCTTTCTTTGGGTTTAATTTGCTCTTCATATTCAATTTCTTAATTAGGAGCTTAGATAATTGACTTGATACTTTAATTTTTTCTGCTATAAGGTTTTATGATGTAAATTTCTTCATAAGTACTGCATAAACTTAGGTTCCATAGGTTTTGACATATGGTGTATTTGTTCAAATCAATATATTTGATAATTTTCAACATATCTTTTTTTAACAGATAGTTTTTATGATTTTAGTTCTTTTAAATTTGTTGATGTTCATTTTATGGCCCAGAATATAGTTTATTACTTTGTGTGTGTGTGTGTGCATTTGAGAAAACTGTGTATTCTGGTGTTGTTGGTCGTTGTGTCCTCTAAATGACAATTAAGTCATGTTGGCTTCTATATCCTTATTGGTTTTTTTTGTCTGCTTATTTTATTGATTACTGAGAGGGGAGTTTTGTAGATCCTAGTTGTGAATTTATCTACTTTTCCTGTTAATTCTGTTTTTGCTTCAGAATTTTATGGTTGGTGAATACAAATTTAGAATTCTATTCCAATTGATTTTGTCAATATGTGTGCCCTCTTTATCTCTGATAATATTAGTTTGGAGTCTTTTTTGTGTGATTTTAATGTAATCACACATGCCTTTTGATTATTGTTTGCATGAATTTTTTCCAGTATTTTCCCTTTAATACATTTATATCTTTATATGTGGTTTCTTTTTTTTTAGATTGGAAAATATAGTTTATTTAGAAAGTAAGTTGAAGAGAGAGGAGACTCACCTCCCCAAGGTAGGGTAGGGGGCCAAAGGTTAGGAAACAAGCCAGCCATAGCTCAAAGGGCCACGTAGTCCAACCAGAATTTAGCAATTCAATGGCCTAAAGTAGTTTCTTTAGACCACAAGGTTTCTTTTTTCATCCAATTTGATTTTTTTTTAAATTGAGGTTTATAAACAATTTTCATTTGATATAACTACTGATATAGTTGAATTTAAGTTTGTCTTGCCAGTTGTTTTCTATTTGTTCTATCTATTCTTTTTCTTCCTTTTTGAGTTAATTGAACTTTAAAAATCATTTTATTTTATTTTTGCTATTTGTTTATCAGTTATACTTCTTTAAAAAAATTAATTGCTACCCTGGGGCCAATAACTTATCCTTAATTTATCATGTCTGCTTTAAGTAAGATATGCAATTCAAAGGTTAAACAATTTACTACATAGTAACATACCTCGAATGGCTCTTCCCATTCTTTGTGCTATTGCTGTCACGTATTTTTATTTTTACATGCTATAATGCTATAAACTCCTGAAAACATTGTTACTATTTTTACTTTAGTCAATTATATTTTAGAATGATTAAAAATAACACAGAAATCATCCATATTTATTTTGTCATTTCTGAAGCTTTTCTTTTTTTGTATAAATCTATTTTCTGTCTAGTATGATATTCCTCCTGATCAGATAAAATTTTTTTAAAGATTTCTTCTAGCATAGGCCTTCTGGCATTGAATTATCAGGGAAATTGTTGTGGAGATGTCTTCTCTATGGACAGAACTTTAATACTATAAAAAGGCCGAGGTCTTAAAAATATCAATGGGCCTACGTAAAGTGGACACTAGTTTGATGAATGTATAAAATACACAAAACCATTTGGAACCTTCTATAAGTAGGAGCTAAAGCAAGTGCTTTCATTTTTTGAAAATTTTTTTTTGTCCCAGTATAGAATTTTGTGTTGACAGGTTTTTGTTTTTGTCTTTTTCTTTTTTAGCACTTTAAAGGTATTATTCTCACTTTTTTTTTTTTTTTTTGCATCATCTTTAATGAGAAGTCGCTAAAGTTCTTATGTTTATTCCTGTGTGTAATATGCCTCTTATCTCTGGCTACCTTCAACATGTTTCCTTTATCCTTGGCTTAAGATATTCAAATATGATGTGTTCCAGTCAATACAGTTTGAGTTCAGTTTTTCTAGTGGTGGTGAGGAGTGAGTTGGCTCTCCCTGCTATTGTATCTGTGTGCTGCAGCGGAGGTGTGAGGTTAGAAACATCATGTTGTTGTCTGCCTATTTCCAATAGAGGCCTTTCTCTCAGAGTTCCCCTTAATTCGATCATGTTGCTAAGCAACACAAGTTAGATGCATCTGAGATTTCCTTTCCTGAGTTTGTTGCCGGTGTTAATCTTTAGAGAGACCTAGATAATTCAGAAGTGATATTATTGTAAAAACTATTCTCGTTTTTTTTTTTAGAATAAGGATCTTAGCTCAAATGAAGGACAACAAAAGGAAAAGGATCAGCTTGAGGAGGCACCCAAGAAAGAAGAAACAACTACCTTTCAGAAAGCTCTTTCTGATTCAGACAAAAGTACTCTGGAGAAGAACCAAATTAATTTTGGGAAGAGTCAGATGGCCAAGAGATTAGAACCGAGCTTAAATTGGAAGGCCACTGTTGATTACAAAGAGTACGTAGACATTTGCATGATAGGTTTTCTGAGACATCTTCAGTAACCACATATTTGCCTAATTTTTCACAGAACTTTGTTTTATAGTAGAGAAAATACAAAGAAGATATTTACATGTTTTTCCAAGGTACAAGCTAATTCCTTTCTGCTCCTCCTTATACTCCAAGTGGAAGGATTTGACAGCAGATCTGTTTGGAGCATTGTGAGGGGAAGGAAAGAACATGATTCACTTTCATAGAGTTGGTGATTCAGCACAAATAACATGTGAAAAAGGTGATCAATCACCCGGAGAAGTCTCATGGGAAATGTAAACATACTGGCAGGGACCTGGTAAATAAGTGCTGGGAGAATGTGACATAATTAAAATGATATGGAGATAATCAGGGAAATTGTTGTGGAGATGTCTTCTCTATGGACAGAACTTTAATACTATAAAAAGGCCGAGGTCTTAAAAATATCAATGGGCCTACGTAAAGTGGACACTAGTTTGATGAATGTATAAAATACACAAAACCATTTGGAACCTTCTATAAGTAGGAGCTAAAGCAAGGATTAAAAGCTAATGCTACTTAAATGCTGAGGCCATCAGAAGCACCTAGAGCACTTTTTAAAACTTAGCAAATAGTTTACAAGGCCCAGCCTATATGCAATGTTCTGTATTATCACATGATTCAGCTAAGAACTGTCTCTGGTTGAACACACAGGATGCTTTCCTGCAGGGATTCTGAGAACCACTGGGGGATTGTGTTTTGGAAGCAAACCCAGAGAACTGTCAGAGGAAGACTTGCGGAAAGGGGAGGGGCACTCTTGTGCCTCTGATTCCCTTGATTTTGAGGTGTTTGACCTTTGTGACCCCATATGAGAGAGTGTGAAAAGGAAAAGTGTATGAGCAACTCTGTTAACTGGGAAGTGAGTTTTCAAGTGCTGCTTTTTAAAAATATGCTTGTTCTTTCAATTATGAAATTCCTTAACAGGTATCTTAGGAGACCACAGTGTTTGCCAAGGACTGTGCTAAGCCTGGGAAAAGCTGGAAAACCAAGCAAAGGCCCTACTGCAGAACTGGGTGGGGAAGATGAGAAAGGCAGCAACAATAATCGAGAGTGATAAGCACCTAGAGTAGCAGGCACGGGGGAAGGACTCACACAACAGTGCCAGCTTGTGAAGACCTGTTCCTAGTACAAACAAGTACTGGACCAAGTGCCTCTTCAGTATGTAAAACACCAGGCTGTATTTGCAGAGCAAAAGGGACAGCTCCAAGTGTCCAGTGAGGCAGGAACCCATAGTCATTCTCTGTCAGGAACACACATCATTTGGGTGCATGGAAATGATGGACTTTTATTTCCTGTTCTTCAGCATAAAGTGATAAAGCTAATATATATATATATATATATTTATATATATATATATATATATAAATGTTTTTTAGCCACAAAATTTCAAGAAAAGAAGGCCAAGAGGAAAAACATGGAGGAAAACAACTTGAAAAGCCAAGAACATCTGTTTCACTTGGAAGAGCACAATTACTTCGGTATGTTTCTGGTTAGCATGACCAAGTTCTCTAAAGCCACCCTCACACAGTGGGCTAGAGAGCATGCTACCTAATGGGGCACTTACTCTTATATTAGGGTCCTAAGATATTTATATTGACAGTTACAAGGAATGTTGGTAAAAATGACAATACTAGATTCCTTTAAATATATTTACAAAATATTCTTCTAATGCTAAGTTATTTGAAATACAGCAATTTATTGGTATTAGTTGATTCTAGGAAAAGAAATATATTTAATGTAAAGAGTTTGAACAGATTTCACAACACTGGGCTCCTAACTGATCTCTTGCCTCTCAGCAGTCATGTCCTGGCAAAATTATGTCATCTTTCTTGGTCTCCCTTTGCTGACCACTGATGATTCGGTCAGTTCTAAAGTGATCTGTGTTATTGCAGCTAATATGAGGCAAACTAGTCAACTTACCTGATTTTCAGGCTGACAACAGAAAAATGACATATCTGGGGGAGAAGAGCCAGCCACTTTTATTAGAGAGTTCCAGAGTGGTGGTGGGGGGAAACATGGCAGAGATCTCACATTTCCAGTTAGTTCACATGGAAAAAAAGTGAAGACACTCTACTGCATTAATACTATTCTTACTTCTTTTTGGGTCACAATAATATTAATTTTGTTTAATAATTTTTAAAGCATTTTATTCTGAAATAATTATCGATTCATAGGAAGTTGCAAAGATAGTAGAGAGGTCGCATGCATCCCTCACTCAGCTTCCCACAATGTTTACATCTTTCACAACTATAGTACGGTATTGAAACCAGATTAACATTGGTAAAAGTATTAATATGTGTCTTTTATTATTTGTGTAGATTTATATCATCCACTAATATATTTTTCATTTCTGTGATTTTCTCATTTTGAGAATGTCATCTAATGGATTCAAACTGTTTTTATATTGACCTTTTTTCCATCAACATAATGCCCTTAAGATTCATTCAAGTTGTTGCATGTATCAATAGTTTGTTGCTGTTCATGGCTGAATAATATGGTATAAATGTATAAATGTATCACAGTGTGTTTAATCCTTCTCCAATACAGGTTTCTGTATTGATAAAAGTTGTTTTTTTCTCTAGTATAAATGGATTAATCACAGTGTGTTTAATCCTTCTCCAATACAGGTTTCTGTATTGATAAAAGTTGTTTTTTTCTCTGGTATAAATGCCCAATTGCTGAGGTAAATGCATGTTTAGCTTTTTGAGAAACTGCCAATCTTTTCCAGAGTGACTGTACCACTTTACAGCCATATCAGCGATGTATGAGAGATTCAGGTTCTCCTCATCTTCACAAGTATTTGGTATTCACTCTAGTTTTCATTTTAGTTACTCTAACAGCTGTATAGTGATATCTCGTTGTAGTCTTTTGCATTTGTTATATGGAAGGTCGATTTTTAGAACTTTTAGAAATCGCCACACTGATTTCTACAGAGGCTATACTAGTTTACACTCCCACCAACATTGTAGAAGTGTTCCCTTTTCTCCACATCCTCTCCAGTATCTGTTATTTTTTGTTATTGATGATGGCCATTGTGACTGGAGTTAGGTGGTATCTCAGTGTAGCTTTAATTTGCATCTCCTTGATGACTAGTGAGGCTGAACATTTTTTCAGGTATCTGTTGGCTGCTCGTATGTCTTCTTTTGAGAAGTGTCTATTCATATCTTTTGCTCACTTTGTAATGGGTCTGTTTGTTTTTTTCTTTTCAGCACGTTTGAATTCCTTATAGATCCTTGATGTTAGGCCTTTGTCAGACATGGAGTTGGCAAATATTTTTTCCCAGTCTGTGGGCTGTCTCCCTGTTCTCTTGATGGTTTCTTTGGCTTTGTCGAAGCTTGTCAGTTTAATGAGGTCCCACTTGTCTATCTTATCTATTATGGCCTGGGCACTTTGGGTTTTGATCAGGAATTGGTTGCCAGTTCCAACTACCATAAGAGTGTCTTCTGCATTTTCTAAGGTTCTTACAGTTGGAGGTTTAACATTTAGGTCTGTGATCCATTTAGAGTTAATTTTTGTGTATGGTGATAGGTAGGGGTGCTGTTTCAATCTTCTGCAGGTGGTCAGTCAGTTTTCCCAGCATCATTTACTGAATAGATTCTCCTCTCCCCAGTAGTGGGTGGTGGAGGCTTTGTTGAAGATGAGTTGGTTGAGAAATGGAAGTTTTGCTTCTGGAATCTCAATTCTATTCCATTGGTCTATATGCCTATTCTTGTACCAATATCAACCTGTTTTGATTATTGTAGCTTTATAATAAAGTCTAAAGTCTGGGGGTTTGATGCCTCCTGCTTTTTTTTTTTTTTTTTTTTTTTGCTGGGGATTGTTTTGGCTATTCTTGGTCTTTTATGTTTCCATATGAATTCCTGTATTGTTTTTTCTAGGTCTGAGAAGAATGTTGCTGGTAATTTGATGGGTATTGTGTTAAATCTATAGATTGCCTTAGATAAAATGGACATCCTAGCAGTGTTGATTCTTCCAATCCATGAGCATGGAATATTTTTTCACTTGTTTATGTCATCTTTGATTTCTTTGAGCGGTGTTTAGTAGTTTTCATTGTAAAGATCTTTCACATCTCTGGTTAGGAAGATGCCAGTGTATTTCATTTTTTTGTGGCTATTGTGAATGGAATTGTGCTTTTTTTTTTTTTGAGTTGGAGTCTCACTCTGTCGCCCAGACTGGAGTGCAGTGGCCACTCCCGGCCACCACAGCCTCAACCTGCTGGGCTCTGGAGATCCTTCCGCCTCAGTCTTCCAAGTAGCCGGAATTATAGGCATGCGCTACCACGTCCGGCTGATTTTTTGATTTATTAGAGATGAGGTCTCACTGCCCAGGTGGGTCTCAAACCCGCGGGCTCAGGCAATCCACTCACCTCAGCCTCCCAAATACGTGAGATTACAGGCTGAGCCACTGAGCCCGGCCGGAATTGTGCTTTTTATTTGGGTTTCTGTTTGTTTATTATTGATGTATAGAAATGCAATTGTCTTTTGCACATTTACTTTATGCCCTGAGATTTTACCAAAGTCCTTTGTCAGTGCAAGGGGTTTTTTGGCAAATTCTCTTGGTTTTCCAAGGTATACAATCATGTCGTCTGCAAAGAGAGATAACTTGACTTCCTCTTTTCCTATTTGGATACCCCTGATCACCTTCTCTTCTCTGATTGCTCTAGCTAGGATTTCCAAAACTATGTTGAACAGGAAGAGTGAGAGTGGGCATCCTGGTCTTTTTTCCAGTTTTCAGAGTAAATGATTCCAATTTTTGTCTGTTTAGGAGTATGTTGGCTAGGGGTTTCTCGTAGGTGGCTCTTACTATTTTGAGGTATGTTCCACCTATGCCTAGATGTTTGAGGGTTTTTATCAAGAAGGGGTGCTGAATTTTATCAAAAGCTTTTTCTGCATCTAATGATATAATCATGTGGTTTTTGTTTTTATGACTGTTGGTGTATTTAATTACATTTATGGTCTTGCAGATGTTGAACCAGCCTTGCATTCCAGAGATGAAGCCTACTTGGTCATGATGGATGATATTTGAGATGTTTGTTGAATCTGATTTGCTAGGATTTTGCTGAGAATTTTAGCATCTATGTTCATCAAAGATATTGGCCGGAGGTTCTCTTTCTTTTTTGGGTCTTTACTTGGCTTGGGTATCAATGTGATGTTAGCTTCATAAAATGATCTGGGGAGAGTTTCACCTTTCTCAATTGCCTGGAATACTTTCAATAGGATTGGTATCAGTTCCTCTTTGTATGTTTTATAGAATTCTGCTGGAAAGTCATTTGGTCCAGGGCCTTTTTTTGTAGGTAATTTTCTTATGACATAGTCAATTTCCTTGATTGTTATTGGTCTATTAGTGTCTTAATTTCCTCTTGTTTCAACCTAGGAAGGTTGTTTGAGGTCAGAAAGTTCTCCATTTCCTTTAGGTTTTCAAGTTTGTTTCTACACAATTGTACATAGTAGTCTCTGATAATCTTTTGTATTTCTTCTGGGTCAGATGTAACTTCATCTTTTGTGTTTCTGATTGAGTTTATTTGGACTTTTTCTCTCTTTTTCTTGGTCAGTCTGGCTAGGGGACCATCAGTCTTGTTTATCCTTTCAAAGAACCAGCTTTTTGTTTTGTTGATTTTTTTGTATTATCTTTTTGTCTTCTATGTCCTGGATTTGGGCTTTTTTCTGACTAGAAGCTTCTTTATGAACGTTGGTGCTCCTATGTTGGGTGCACATATGTTTAGGATGGATATTTCTTGTTGATGGATTGAACCTT